TCAGGTATAGAAGTTGCATTGTAGTTGTGCCACTTAAACTTGGACAAATCACAGACAATGTCTGTGTGTTACCAGTTGTGGTACTTGGTAATAGTCTCCATCTGGTGCAAAAGGATCTTCTTTGATGAGTGGTGTGTTGGTTTGAATGCAAAAGGATCTTCTTTGATAAGTGGTGTGGTGGTTTGAATGAAAATGTCCTCCATAGGCTCCAAGTATTTGGACATTTTGTCCACAGTTGTTGGTGCTGTTTTGGGAGGGCTTAGAAGGTGTGGCTATCCTGGAGGAAGCAAGTCATAGGAGGCAGGCTTTGAGAGTTCTTAAGCCTTGCCAGGTCTCAAGCTGCTCTCTTGTTTTCTGTGCCCGCTTGAAGAACTGAGAACTTAGCTATTGCTCCTGCTCCAGACACCTCCTGCCACCATGCCTCCCTGCCCTGATGGACTATAAATCCCCTGGAACTGTAAGCTGAAATAAATTTTTCCTTCTACAAGTTGCTTGGGTCAATGTTTCCATCACAGCAACAGAAAAGTAACTAATACAAGTGGTGACTGGGATATTTGTCTGTAAATAAAAGGATACATATTTTGCACATAGTTGAAAATTACTTTTGTGGAGGGATATGAGAGTCTTGGGGTTTTCTCTAAGGTCTATGACCACTCCAGCCATGTGTATTTGGCTATGCTTACAGTACCACGCATGAGTTTCCTCCCACTGAGTGGACTTTAAGTCCAATTAGGTAGCTGTTGATTACCGCCAAAATAAAAGTGCCACTACCGCACCAATGTTGTATGCTGTGCTAGTCATGGAAGAGAACGCAGGTGCTCCAAAGATGCTGAAGGGCTGTCCATGTGGCCAGGTAAACTAGGATGTAAAGTCACAGATACAAGAAAGATCTAGCCTGAGAATCAAAAAATATTATTTTTAATATTTTATTTATTATTTTTATTTTAGGTGTATGAGTGTATTTCTTGCATGTATGTAAGTGCACCCATGTGGTGCAATGCCTGTGGAGGTCAGAAAAGGGTGTTGGATCACCTAGAACTGGAGTTACGGACAGTTGTTAGCCACCATGTAGGTGCTGGGAACTGAACCTGGTCCTCTGCAAGAGCAATCAGTCTTAGTTTGTTGATAAAGTAGCTATGACATCTTTGAGTGAACATCAGGAGTGACAGTTGTTAGTTGGTCACTATGAATTGGAAACCAGTAGATTTTTGAAAATCTTTGGAAATAAAGGCAAGGGTTCTTAGAAATGTTCAGTGGGCAGAGCTACCACACACACACACACACACACACACACACACACGCACACACATACACACAAGTACATACACATGCACCTATATATTTTTGTACACTAACATATTTCTAGAGGTGTTGATTTTAATATCCATTTATAAACTGGAAACACTACTTCAGATTTCTATATCATTTCAACAGATCACCAAAGGTTTAATTCTAGCTTCTTCTTATATTTAAGTCTTTTCTGAATGTTAGAAACTTGGCCACTGCTGTTTTTATTTCCCCGTTTTACTAGTATGTCTATATTTTCCGTGCTCCCATGACTACTGTTATCCAGAGCCCCGTAAGGATTCCTTACTGTCTTTGCTCAGATCCTGACTACACACACTCGACTATTTTCACCAGGTGGACACTTTATGATTCCCCATGTTCATCTTCTCAGCATTCCATAGATCATACCAGTCCACAGCACATTGGTGACCCTGTTCTAATCATTCCTATGAAGGAGCCTCCACATCTAGAGCCTCCTGACTCTGCTTGGCTTCTGATTCTCCATCCCAGGATCACCCTTCGTGTACCCCACTTCTCTCTGGAACCCCATGCCATATTGACCTCTTCATGGACATTCTCTTCATGCCTCATGGACTCAATGTAACAAATATTTTAAGTTTTTGTATATATTATTACACATATATTAAAATCAATCCAAGTTTTCATATATTGATTCCACTTCTTAATTCTTTATAATTTTTTAAAATTTCATTAAATTTCTTTGAATATTAAATTGGGAGAAAAATACCTACCTTCATTGATATTTCATGAATAAACCAAGTGAGCCAGAGGTATCATTTCAGTGTTAAATGTTTGATAAGTCAAAGGTACTCCAAAAGATCTATATTGATTCCCTCCAGGGTTTATAGAGATGAACAGAGAACTAAGCTTTCTACTAAATTTCATGGAACATAAAAGTCTGGGATGATCTAAAATGCTGACTTTTGTAAGATTCTACTTAGCAAGAACATGTCCCTTCCAGTTGTTATGATTAATCCAAAATAAAATTTTAAATAGAAATTTTTCTGCTTATATGATAAGAAACTAATTTTATTTGCGCACCAATGCAAATATTGATGGATTTTAATGTACATGCAACATCTTACAGTTATTTGAAAACTGTTGAATAAATGCTTATATCTTTCATATTCTTATCATTTTCTTGATCAAAATGAGAAAAATTTCAGTCTACTTACCCCTGTCAGCTCTTGTGTTTAAATTTATTTATAAAGCTCAGAAGAACAAACAAAATCATAGTGGCCCTTTATAACATAGTGTAGATTACTTTTAATAATAAGCTCTGCTGCAGACGGAGCAATGTCAAATGGAAGAAAATATTGCAGAATAGCAGACCACTAAATGTGTTTATGTCATGGAAAGCAAAAGCAAGCTAGAAGCCATTGCAACTAAAGAAGACTAAGGAAATGTGATCACTCAGCACAGCACTCATTCTGGGTAGCATACTCAACTGGAAAAAATTAATTTTCTACAAAAAACTCCTAATTTTAGAAACTGGTAAAACTGAAATATTTCTCAACTATGCCAGATTTCAAAAAACTTTTGTATAGAGGCACAGATAGTAAACATTTTAGGCTCTTCACTCCACACTCTGTCACAATTCTGTTAGCATAAAAGGAGCTATAGACCAGATGTAATAAATGATTGTGTATGTGCAAATAATGCTTTATTTTTGGGTACAGCTATGGAGAAAAGTTTCATTTATTACAGGATTGGGCAAGTAAGTGTGCAAAGACAAAGGGATACATATTAACTAGAACTCTCTCTCTCTATATATATATATATAGAGAGAGAGAGAGAGAGAGAATCTTGAGATATATAGAGAGAAAAAAAAGAAAGAGAAAGAAAAATAAAGAAAGAGAGAGTAAAAAGAGAAAGAGAGGGATTTAACTAGCAGGCTACAATTTCCAACTAAGATCAATGTTGTGTTTTTGAGTTTGAAGACTGCCTAAAGACCTAATTCCTTACGTCTCTGCGACCCTAGTTTTTTCTCCTATATCCATCACCTGATTGGATGAAGTCCAACAATACAGTGAAGAATAGTGCATCTTACTCAAAGTCTACTTATTTGAACACCAATCACATGTAAAAAATACCTTCATAGCATCATCTCATTGGTATTTAACCAAACGTGGATTTGGCCAACAAAGTTGCCAAATCAACCTTCACATGATGATAAGATGGAATTTCCTGATTGTAATGTAAGAGTCACATATTTTTATTGTGGTGGTGGCTATAAGAATTTGCACTTGAGAATAAACTGCAGAGAACTATGTATACAGGTCTGTGCATACACATACATGCGTACATTTAAAATTAGTCAAACTTCAAAGCTGTGCATTCCAATTATAATTACGTAATTACATAACTGCCACAATATCAAACCAAAGATAGTTTTATGTCTTTGTTATTGTGCTACCATAACATAAAATGTCAGAATTATGGTATTCCCTGTGGGCAGCACATAATACTTTCAGATAAACTACTTTTACAACTTTATTTGAGTCTATAATTGTTTAGAGAAAACATTAGGCACACTCAAGTTTGATATGCATTATGAAGTATTGTTATTCTTTTAACTTATTTAATAGTTCAACAATGTCAGCATCATTCTTATCCAAGATGGCCACACATAAACAAGTGGTAGGACCTAGGTTTTGCTCAGGGTAATTGCTTGCTGACTACTAAATGAGATAACAGTGTGTGTTATTTTCCCATGTTGTTCATTGTATAGTCATTATGTTGAATGATATCTTTGATTGGTTTCTAGAAAGATCAACTGAAATTTTCAAATTTCCTTTAAATGCCTTGTTATTTTCAGACTTAGAATACGCATTCCAGCTTCTTCAACTCTGGCTCCTCAGCTGGTCTTAGGCCTGGAGTGAGCCTTTCAGCACCTTCTCATTTGACGTGGAGTAGTATAAATGTGTTTCCAGGAGACAGGGCCAGGAGGAATGGCCAATGACATATGGAAGAGATGTGGAACCTTAACAATTAGGAGCTGATAAAAGTTAGAAATGTTCATTATCATCCTTTATCTTCAAGTCTGCCTCTTTAACTGAATTCTTCAATTCAAAGTCAACAGGAAAAGTCATCCTCAACACCCTCTACAAAGAAGACATTGGAACACTTGATGTCTTGATGTAATGATGATTTTGTGCAATTTAATGAAGCCTTCCAATAACACTGAGAGCAGGGTTTATTTTATTTATTCCATTTCTGAAAATGAGGAATCTATAGTTTAGAAAAGTTGAAAAACTCACCCAATACTATTTAAAAAGTTTATGACAGAGCAGAATTATACTCCTACTGTGTAATTTCAAAACTCATATTCAATGTTTTCCGTTCTGAGGCAAAAAAAAGCCATACAGAAGCACTCAGTTCAGTTATCACCAGGAATCAGATTTCAAAGGAATTCGTTGTCTTTGAAAGAGATGAATCAAAACATTTGTGATCTTAGTTTATAGTAAATGAATGTTTTCAGTGATTCCAGTTGAGCATAGTTAGTAATAGAGAAGAATCTGTGACTTTGCTTTCAACACCATCCATGATTGCCCAGTCAAGTCATTTCTATGTCACTCTTAAATTTCAGTTTAAATGATAAATTCAAAATGTACAAATTTATGTAATAAAACAATGATTGACACACGCATACATTGTGGAAGACTAAATCAAGCTAATTATACATGAAAGCATTACATTTTTATTTGGGGTTTTTGCTTGACAGCTTTGCCACACAACAAATATTTCACAGCAGCTTTGACATCTTTATTCCTTAAACTGTAGATGATAGGATTTAACATGGGGGTTGCTACCCCATAAAACACAGAAAAAAGCCCCTCTGTAGCTTGAAAATTATCTTTCCCAAAGAGGTCTTGAGACTTGGGTCTTGCATACATAAAGAAAATGGTACCATAAAATATGGTCACCACAGTCAGATGAGCTGAGCAGGTGGAAAAGGCCTTGCGTCTCCCTGTGGCCGAGTTCATTCTCAAGATGGTGTAGAGGATGAACATATAGGAGAAAAAGATGACCAGCAGTGGGAGAACCAGGAAGGCCATGTTTGACACAGCTAAAGTAACAACATTGAGGGATATGTCAGCACAAGCTAACTTGAGGACAGCTAAGATTTCACACAAGAAATGATTAACAACGTTATTCCCACAGTAAGGCAATCTCATGGCAAGAGATGTTTGTACAACTGAATTTAGTAGACCAGAGAGCCATGACACAGATGCCATCAGCGTGCATACCCTCTTGTTCATGATGATGGTGTATCTCAAAGGGTTACAGATGGCCACATAGCGATCAAAAGCCATCATGCCCAGGAGGAAACATTCTGTTGCTCCCATTGCAAAACCAAAGAATATCTGCAAGACACAGCCAGAGAAGGAAATGTTTCTTTTCTTTGAGATTAGGCTCACTAGTGTTGAGGGAACAGAGGTAGCCGTGTAGCACAGATCCAGGAAAGAGAGGTTTCCCAGGAAGAAGTACATGGGAGTGTGAAGACGGAAATCAAAGACGCTCGCTAGGATCAGAACACCATTGCCAGTTAGAATCACTAAGTACATAGCCAGGATCAGAACAAAGAAAATGATCTCAAGTTTAGGGTGTCCAGAAAGACCCAGAAGAATGAATTCTTTTACAAAGGTCTGATTTATCCTATGCATGCTCCACATATCAGGATGTCAATGGAGTATCCACAATAAATATGTCCATGGTCAAGCAACAAGTATAACAAATATCTTGAGTGTTACTCTGTATAAAAAAGAGTCAAAAGCATTATCATTCTGTTGTCTTCAGTGGTGTTTGAGAAACACATACAAAGACATTGAGATTTCTCTGCCCTGGATCTACTATGTGGACATTGAGTTAGGACCAGAAGCCAATTCGGTAGTCTTCATTACTGAGGACAACGAATTTTCCATGCAGACAACACACCTGATTTCTTCATTTAGTCAGTTCTACTGGGAGAACAGCAAAGAAAACCAAGGACAACTCAACAGAGACTGGGGTTCCAATATAAATTTTGACCAGAATTGCTCAGATAAAAGAAGATTTATTCCTATACCTGTTTGTTTATCTACCTAAAACTCAGAATCCCTTTCCAGTCAGTTTAAGGTATTTTTTAGAAGGCAGTCCTTTCATCACAACAAATCAATACACATACACTGCAAGTCATATGTGTTCAAAGATTAACTCAACTATTGATTGCATAGTAGGAGCATTGCTATTTCATTATCTCGTCACAGCTTCATTTCACAGACTGTCTATGCTTCCATGTGATGGAGAATAATACATAAACTCTCTTCATTTCTTTTATTCTATGACTTTGGAGTTGTTCTTCATGATTTATTTTAAGTGCACCTGAGAAAATAGTAATAATGCTTCTTTTATATACGAATAGTAATAATGCTTTTTTATATATGAACATGTTACATTAATACTTTACTAAAATCAGGTGTATATTGTCATTATCCCTATTTTTCTCCAAATGAAAAAGACATAATATGGCCAATGTTATCCATTTTATAGTGAAAAGTAAAACATGAAGCTTAGGTCTTGACAGTTGGGTTCAGAGCTCCCTGGAATACAACTCCAAAAGCTGTTAAACTTTGTATTCCCAACAAACACACTCTAAAGTCAACTAGGCTAATTTTTCATTTAAAAAATCATTTAAAATGTTTTTAAAATTTGTATTTTATGTGCATGAGTGTTTTGTCTGCATGTATATAAGTGAACCACATGCAAACAAGGCCTTCAGAGGCCAGAAAAAAGCATCAGATCACTTAGGAACTGGAGTTATGAATGGTTGTTAGCTGCCTTATGGGTTCTGGGAATTGAATCTGGGTCCTCTGCAAGAGCAGACAGTGCTCTTAATGGCTGAGTCATCTTTCCAACCCTAATTCTTTCCATATTTGTAGATACAGGTTGGAAATGCCTGCTAGAAAAGCAACCTGGAAAACAACCAAGAGCATGTTTTTCTTTTTTCAGTAATCCACTGAGCCTTGTCTTTTTGTTTATTATACTTCAGACAATAAATATTATTGAAAAACAAATGCCATAAGCTTATTCCAGACTATAATGGTTGATTGCTTACCTTGAACACAACCCTATTCTAAGCCAAGTGAAGATAGGACAAGTTTGATTCAACATATCTGCCATCAGAAAGTTCACGATTCAGTGAAGAAAGTGAAAAGGCTACACGTGGAACAGATTGAAACAGAACATAACTCCAGTGTGACCATCTTTAATACTTAAGCATGCTCCAAAGGCTGTTAGGGAGAAACAAGTTGAAGATTCTGAAAGAAATTCAGAGTTAGGTTGGACACGGAAGCAGAAGCAATGAGGCAGGACTAGGAGATGAAGGGGAAAAGAGACTATCCCAGGAGAACCAGGCAAACGATGTTTAGGAGGACTACCTTCAGTGTATGCTTTTTGTGGAGTAGTTGTGGCAAGCATATGGGAAAAGGTAAATGGGAAAGGTGTATGTGAAGGGCCAAAGGTCAGGGAGACCTTCTTTTCATAGGAAGGGGCTCACTATTAGAATCACAAAGCACTCGGTAAGGATTTTAAAACATTTACTTAATTCCCTCCAAATCTGACATTATACAATTTCATTTCCTGAACTTTTTAAACAGATACGTAGTGCAATGAAAGGATATGGTCAAATTAATTGAATCATCAGTAATTACAACCTGGAACATACATACAAAATTAGTCTTTTTATAATTGCCATCAGTTTGCACGTTAATCTGTTCAACTTCTAGTCTAACTCTCATTTTTTTTTTAATGTAATAAGAAGTGGGTAAAATTTCCTCTAGTGTATAAGGTCTTAGAGTTGGGAGTCAAATTAGACAGACAGATTCTTATCTCAGAAATAATTTAAGGAATATCAAGTAGAAAGTTTCAATTTGTAAAGAGATACAAATAAGACTATTGAATGCTCAAATGAGAGATTGCAACTTCGAATCTCAAAAAATTCTAATTAATACAACTGTTGCTGAGAACTATTGGCAACTGATCACTGCCAGGTGAGGGAGAGATGATCATCTTTAAGGGAGTGCTCTAGATAGGCTGACTAGACTACAGTGGATGAACTTGCACTAAGGGACATCTGGCCACAAAAGCTTGGCTCGATAGGCCTTAACATGTACGACAGAATGTGTGAAGTCCATCGGAGGTTTATGGGGGGGGTGGATGGTGGAGGGGTCTAAATATAATTAATATCTATTGTATGAAATGCACAAAAATTCAATGAAAATATACAGTTAAAAATCTAATTAACTCTTCCCCTGGCACGGCTCACTAGTAGGAATGGAGCTGTGGCTCACAGATAGACCTGGTAGGCAGCCATGGTGCAGCATGCAGGTGCCACGGGACAGCATCCAGGCCTATCAGGGCTGGTACATCTCTGCCCAGTATCTCGAATAAATGGCAGTAGTGGAAAGTGGAGCCCATTCAAACTTCAAGGACAGGGATTCCCGAGAGGTTCATTTTATTTCTTGGTCTTTAATTTGATGAATGTCTCATGAATGTCCCAAGGAAATGGGATCCTTGGCTTAGCTTATGTGATGGCTAATACCGTTCTCCTTGGATTGAGTTTCTTGCTGCTGTTAGTTGTTTCCTGGTTTCTTACTTAGTCCATCACCTGCTTATGTGCATTCAGACAGCTGTGACATCTTATGAAGACCTTGGACTCTGTGTTTGGATTACCTGTGAAGGTGGTGGTGACAGGCACCATAATGATTCAGAATGTTGGAGCTATGTCATCTTTTAATTATTATTTTTTAATATTTTATTAATTACTTCTATTTTATGTGTATAATTGTACTGCCTGCATGAATGTATGTGCACCTATGTCATGCAAAACCTACAGAGGTCAGAAGAGGGCGCTTCATATTCCCCGGAACAGGAGTTATAAGCTGTTGTTAGCGTCCATGTGGGTGTTGGGAACCGAACCTGGGTCCTCTGCAAGAGCAGCCAGTATTTGACCACTGAGTCCTCTTTCCAGACTCCTTACCTATTAATTATTAAGCATAGCTTCCTCTGCTACTTAGGAACATTTGCCTGGAGACAACAGTGTGTCTTGGCATCTCAATGGACAAACACTGCTCATCCTCACTCCCCTCTTGCACTTCTTCCCCAAATAGGTGTTTTTGGCTACACAAGTAGCTCATCATTTTCTGTATGTTGTTCTTTGTTCTTGTGATCATAATTTAAAAATGGTCCATTTCCTGTCCTCTGACCTTAATTACATAGAGAAATTCTTCCAGGCTTTAAATGCTACAGAGGTTTGTAAGCAGAAGCTCTTTCATTTCTCCAAAGAGAATGTTTATGCCACACCAAGCACGACCTTTGCATTTCTGCACTGTACCTCAGTATTGCCCATATTGTGAACTTCAAAGTCCCTCAAGGAAAAGAATGCAATATGCAACCACTACAGCAGTTGCTTTAAGTTTTCTTATTTACTTTATATCTGAGCTCTTTGGATACCTCACTTTTTATGACAAAGTGGAGTCAGAATTACTGCAAGGTTATAGTAAATACTTGCCACATGATGTTGTTGTCATGACTGAAGTTATGCATACTGTTTGCTGTGCCTTTGACAGTCTCGTTAATCTACTTCCCTGCCAGAAAAGCTTTGATGATGACACTTTTCTCTGATTTTCTGTTTTCATGGATTTGCCATTCTCTGACCATACTAATGCTCAACAGTACATTGTTTTACTTGCAATATATGTTCCTGACATTAGAAATGTATTTGGTGTAGTTGGTGCCAGTACATCAACATGCCTGAGCTTTGTATTCCCAGGGTTATTTTACCTTGAACTTAGCAGAGAGGATTTTTTTCTCATGGGAAAGCTTTTACTTTGCTCATCACTGGAATTTTGGGGATTTCAATTTAGCACTCACCATTTTTTATTGGATTTACAAATGAAAGAAATAATTTTCCAATTATTAAGAACAATTTACCTCCATAAGTAGGAAGGAATCATTCTGTAAGGTGCTTTCTATGAAAAAATACATTCTTATGAAAATTATTAACACAAAAGCAGTACATAATGGCAGTACACTGCCGAAAGTAGGAAAATAGCAAGTTTAAGCAAAAGAAGAAACACTCAAAATGTTCTTAAATACTCTGAGTCAGCCTTTCATTTGTTTGGGACTTCAAAAAAATTGGTAGCCTTTATTTTGTAAGAAAACAAATCTAATTAACACTTTTTTCAATTTAAGATCAGGAGTACTCCAAAATTTCTTTATTTAAATGAAAAAAGTCTCTAGAGCAACTTCAATAACAGATTCTTATGTGCCAAATACTGTGCCTGAAATTAATTCATTTAGCAAATGCACATAGCTAATAATAAGCAGAGAGAAGTTTCAAAATTTCACAACTTCTGTAGCAAATATATAGCATTAAAATATATGCAGAATATGTTTATCAACAACAGAAAATGGTCAAGGAGTATAACAATTAAGTTGAGATGGTTACCTCTACTAAGTAAAAATGTCCTTGGAAAAATGTTGTCTCTGGGACTCAACTTCTAATGACATAAGAATGTCCAAGAATATGGGATTAAAAGACAAATTTAATCAGAACACAAAACTTGCTATGAAATGAGTTTACATGCACAGTACACTACTCCTTAAGATAAATTAATACTCTCTT